AACGTATACCATTTATGAAAGTAAAGTTACCTAAGTAGAATTATAACAATACAAAACATATCAATGTACAACATTTATATAAGTAAAGTTATGTAAGTAGAATTATAACAATAGAAAACATATCAACGTATACCATTTATAAAAGCAAAGTTACCTAAGTAGATTGGGAAGAGTACGAAATACATCAACACATGCCATTTCTAAAACTAATGCTATATAAGTAGAGATATAACAAATCAATGAAACCTAAATTCCAAGTAAATTATAAAAATAGAAAACAAATAAACAACTAACGTTTATAAAACAAACTTACCTAAATGAAATCGTAACAATACGTTACGACAGCGGAAGTCACGTGACGCTAGTAACACGTCATGAACTTCTAGAACGTTCACGTCCCTTCCTGAAGTCTCGAGAGGCTACTAGATATGTGGTATATATAAGACCGCCAAGAACTGACGGCAACAATGTAATGTGTAATTGAACTGCAGACAGAAAGAGACGTATTGTTGAGTCGAGCACGTGAGACGTTCATTGTGAATTATAGCGTTTGTTATAGTGCGACTGTGGAAATTAAGTGTATTGCAAAGTTGTATTCAGAGAGAATAAACCAGTTTTATTTAAGAAAGGACTTCTATCGCTAAAGTTTCTTCAGAAAGAAGTTTTACGGAAAATTAACCAACGAACGGAGGCGTAACAAATTGGTGTCAGAGAGTGGGACAGAAAATAAAAATAAAAAAGAAGAAGATGGAAACGAGAAGCAGAAAATCAAACTACAGCTTAGCAGATTTGATGGCAGCAATACAGAAACAAGAAGAACGAGAAAATAAACAAGAAAAGAAACAAGATGAGAGACAACAGCAGTTGCAAGGAAACCTGCAACAGTGGCAGCTCGAACGAGAAAATAAACAAGAAGAGAGATTACAGCAGTGGTTGGATAAAAAAGAAAGAACAAGAAGAGAGACGAACAGCAGTTGCAAGAGAACCTGCAACAGTAGCAGCTGGAACAGCAAAATAAATAAGAGAGATTACATCAGTTCT